CCATATGAGTGGTACTAAATGCAGTTGCGTTACTTAGCCATATGAGTGGTACTGATAGTAAGTGCGATATTTAGCCATATGAGTGGTATTAAGTGTAGGTGCATTACTTAGCCATATGAGTGGTACTAAGAGTAGGTGCGTTACTTAGCCATATGAGTTGTACTAAGAGTAGGTGTGATACTTAGCCATATGAGTGGTACTAAGTGCAGGTGTGTTACTTAGCCATATGAGTGGTACTGATAGTAAGTGCGATATTTAGCCATATGAGTGGTATTAAGTGTAGGTGCAGTACTTAGCCATATGAGTGGTACTAAGAGTAGGTGCGTTACTTAGCCATATGAGTGGTACTAAGGGTAAGTGCGTTACTTAGTCATATAAGTGGCACTAATAGTTAGTGTGTTACTTAGCCATATGAGTGGTACTAAGTCTAGGTGCGTTACTTAGCCATATGAGTAGTACTAAGAGTATGTGCGTTGCATAGCCATGTGAGTGGTACTAAGAGTAAGTGCACTTTTTAGCAATGTGGAGGTACTAAGAGTAAGTGCGTTACTTAGCAATATCAGTGGTACTAAGAGTAGGTGCGATACTTAGCCATATGAGTGGTACTAAGAGTAAGTGTGTAACTTAGCGATAGGAGTGGTACTAAGAGTAGGTGCGTTACATAGCCATATGAGTGGTACTAAGTGCAGGTGCGTTACTTAGCTATATGAGTGGTATGAAGATTGAGTGCGTGACTTAGCCATATGAGTGGTACAAATATTAAGTGCGTGACTTCGACATATGAGTGGTATTAGGAGTATGTGTCTTAATTAGCCATATGAGTGGTACTAAGAGTAGGTACATTAGCCATGTGAGTAGGTAGTAAGAGTAAGCGCGTTCTTTAGCCATATGAGTGGTAGAAAGTGCAGGTGCGTTACTTAGCCATATGACTCGTACTTATAGTAAGTGCGTTATTTCGCCATATGAGTGGTACTAAGTGTAGGAGCGTTACTTAGCCATATGAGTGGTAATATAGGTAAGTGTGTTACTTAGCCATATGAGCGGTACTAAATGTAGGTGCGTTACGTAGCCATATGAGTGGTACTAAGGGTAAGTGCGCTACTTAGCCATATGAGTGGTACTAAGAGTAAGTGTGTTACTTAGCCATATGAGTGGTACTAAGGGTAAGTGCGCTACTTAGCCATATGAGTGGTACTAACAGTAAGTGTTTTACTTAGCCATATGAGTGGTACTAAGTGTAGGTGCGTTACTTAGCTATAGGAGTGGTAGTAAGGTTAAGTGCGTTACTTAGCCATATGAGTGGTACTAACAGTAAGTGTGTTACTTAGCCATAGAAGTGGTACTAAGTGTAGGTGCGTTACTTAGCTATATCAGCGGTCCTAAGATTAAGTGCGTTACTTAGCCATAAATATGGTATTAAGAGTAAGTGTGTTACTTTGCTATATGAGTGGTACTAAGTGTCGGTGCGTTACTTAGCCATATGAGTGGTACTAATAGTAAGTGCGTTTTTTACCCATATGAATGGTATTAAGAGTAAATGAGTTACTAAGCGATATAAGAGGTACTAAGAGTAGATTTGTTACCTAGCCATATATGTGGTACTATGAGTAAGTGCGTTACTTAGCCATATGAGTGGTACTAAGAGAAAGTGTGTTACTTAGTCATATGAGTGGTACTAAGAGTAGGTGCGTTACTTAGCCATATGAGTGGTACTAAGTGTAGGTGCGCTACTTAGCTATATGAGTGGTACTAAGATTAAGTGCGTTACTTAGCCATATGAGTGGTATTATGAGTATGTGTCTTACTTAGACATATGAGTGGTACTAAACGTAGGTGCGTTTCTTAGCCATATGACTGGTACTAATAGTAAGTGCGTTATTTAGCCATATGACTGGTACTAAGAGTAAATGCGTTACTGAGCGATATGAGTGGTACTAATAGTAGGTGCGTGACTTAGCCATATGAGTGGTACTAAGAGTAGGTGCATTACCTAGGCATATGAGTAGTCCTATGTGTAGGTGCGGTACTTAGCCATATGAGAGGTACTAATAGTAAGAGTGCTATTTAGCCATATGAGAGTCAGTGCGTTTTTTAGCAAGGTAGAGGTACTATGAATAAGTGCGTTACTTTGCGATATGAGTGGTACTAACAGTAAGTGTGTTACTTAGCCATATGAGTGGTACTAAGAGAATGTACGTTACTTAGCCATTTGAGTGGTACTGAGAGCGTTACTTATCCATATGACAATTATTAATATTATATGCGTTACTTCACTAGATGAGTGGTACTAAGTGTAAGTGTGCTACTTAGCCATATGAGTGATACTAAGTGTAGGTGCGTTACTTAGCTATATCAGTGGTCCTAAGATTAAGTGCGTTACTTAGCCATATGTGTGGTATTAATAGTTACTTAGCCATATGAGTGGTACTAAGTCTAGGTGCCTTACTTAGCCATATGAGTGGTACTAATAGTAAGTGCGATATTTAGCCATAAGAGTAATTGCATTACTAAGCGATATGAGAGGTACTAAGAGTAGGTACGCTACGTAGCCATATGAGTGGTACTGAGTGTAGGGGCGTTACGATGCCATATGAGTGGTACTAAGATCAAGTGCGTTACTGTGCCAGATGAGTGATATTAAGAGTAAGTGTTACTTAGCCATATGAGTGGTACAAAGTGTCGGTGCGTTACATAGCCATATGAGTGGTACTAATAGTAAGTGCGTTATTTAGCCATATGAGTGGTACACAGAGTAATTGAGTAATTGTTACTTTGCTTAGTTCCTTAGTGCTTGCGCATTCACGGGAGTAATCGGCAAGAGTTTCCACTAGGCAAAGTCGAAATTACAGAATGATTGAACAAGCGATGGCAACAATGACTACATCAGGCACCTAGCAACCCTGCAGCTAGCCTGGTCGACCGCCAGCACAGCTCGGTCGACCGCCTGCGAGCGTTGCGTATTGGAGCCGCGCCAGCACTGCAGAAGGGCGACTTGCCAACAGAGCAGGTCGACGGCGTGCCAACGCTGCAGCAGAGCGGCTGTCCAGCGTTGCCCCGTAGAATACAGCAGTGCGTACGCTTGTAGGTGCGCGCAGACGATTGTCCCGACTTGCCTCGTTGGGCATCTGTCGGCTGTTGTCTGCGCATGACGAGCCACATCGACTCGGTTGGTATCCCGAAGTCGCCTACGTCATCGTGACCTCGACGACGTTCGCGTGCCTCCGCAGAACTCGTCGAGCAGGTTACCCGGTCGACCTGGTCGACCCCCAGGTGTTCTGGTCGACCCCCAGGTGCCTCTGGTCGACCACCGGGTCCCTCTGGTTGACCACCAGGTGCCTCTGGTTGACGACAACTCCCGTCAAGCTACCCCCTGGTCGACGGACCCCTTCCGTTGACCAGAACCATCAGCGGTTGTCGCCGATCTCCCCTCGTCGACCGCTGATCACTTGTCAGGTCGACGGACTGCTCCGTCGACCTCCCGGTCGAACTGCAAGTCGACGGAGTCCTCCCGGTCGAGCTGCAGGTCGACGGACCGCTCCCGGTCGAGCTGCAGGTCGACAGACTGCTCCGTCGACCTTCCGGTCGAACTGCCCCTCCTGGTCAACGGCCCACCCGTTGCCCAGACCAGTCAGTTGAAGTTGTCGAGCTCCCTGTTCGACAGCAACACCACAAGCAGGCCAACGTGCCTCAGTTTATTGCTTCGTGCAGTAAAAGAGATTCACTCGAGTCGAAATAGGGTTTACTTGGTCGAGTCGAGAAAGTAATTTCATGGAGTGAGTGAGGTTAGTCTACCTTGGTTACAGGGCTGCTTAAGGGGGTTAGAGTAGTCAAGGGGGAAGAAGGAGGGCCGGCAGAGGCAGAAGGAGGAGGCATCATAGCCCTCCAGGCACACGCCAAGCGCACAGATGTCAGTGCTGTTAAGGCGGCATATGGCGAACTCTGGAAAGGCAGTGAGTGGGAAGAGGGGAAATGTAGAGAGATTACAGGCAGGAAGTCAGCAAATAGATGGTAGTTAGGAACTAAATGGATGATGGGGAAGTTGGGGTGTATGATCGTGGAAACTTGGAGTGCGAGGACGCTGAGGGAGCTAATACATGGGGTGGTTGGGATCGAGGGGGCATGGGCATGTGTGTTAGGCTGTAACGACAAGTCTTAAATCATCCAATGTAATGTACTGTTGGTTCATTGACTGTATGATGCTGTCGAATCTGTCAAACCGATGTGGCACAACTGCGAGGGCTTGCAGCTGGAGTGGCTGAATTAAGAAGGCAAGAGCACGTGTGAAGGCAGAGAGTGCGCGCGCAAGAGAGTCAACACTTTTACATGCGCGATGCTGTGCCGTGCGGACTTACCATTGTGACACGTTTGGAAGGCGGTCATTTGGGGGAGCTTGTAGCTGGGCTGGCTGAGAGGGCACGAGCACGTGCTGGTGTATGTGCCTGTGGCTGCTGACCGCACCGCACTGCACCTGCCAGCACCGCATGGATTCACGTCCCATGCCGTGCATGGGTTGACGTCTGTGTGGCATGGGGAGTGAGAAGAGACAAGGAGAGGATGATTGAAGAAATAGAGGGGAGCAGAGCTGAAGAAAGGAGAAGGAAGGACTTGAAAACATGACAAAGAAGTACGATAAAAAATGCTAGTGGAGTGGAACAACAATGGATGCATCACTCGCATTCAACTATTCAAACAGGTGAAGGCAAGCTCAATAACGTGCATTGCATGCTTGATCCGGAATCACCGGCATATTTGGTCATAAATGTGGCACATGGATGGAACCAAATCAAGTGGCACATGGATGGAACCAAATCAAGTGTGGACATGCACACAAGACACAGATGAACAGATACACTTGAAGCAAAAGATGTGCACATTTACAAACACGAGCACGACACACTCAACCAACCCTTCATACGAACCTGTAAATCGGAAGGTCCATGCCTTGATGGACTGAACACATGCCTGCGTGCTGGCACTGCTGAAGCCCGCAAACACCGGAATCACTCCTTCAGTAGCACCAGAACTGCTGCTGCTGCTGCTGTTGCTGCTGCTGCTGCTGCTGTTCATGCCACTCTTCCCATCATAGAACACAGAGCATAAGTCAAGAGTCAGCTTCACACTTTGGAGCTCAAGGGCGGGCTGGGCCCTTGAGCTCTGCTGCTCAACTTGGCGCCGCGTGGCCACCAGACCGGACCGGACCGGGCCAGTTCGGTTCAAACCAGACCGGACCGGCTCGAACTGATTCGTAGGGGTTCGGGCTGGGTGGGCCGCCTCTGGCCTGGCCTGCGTTGGGGCGAGCGACTTTCCAAGAAAGTTGGGCCGGCACGGTCTGGGCAGGTGGCCCTCAGCCTGGTCCGTGCTCACCGCCTACTACTATGCATGCGGGGGTGGTTGTCTCCCTTCTTCAACCTCCTTCTTCCCAAATCCCAGTTTCTCGCTTCTTGAGCTAACCGATTTACTCTCTTTGACTCTGTGTTTCCCTCTCCCCTCCCTTTCTCCCAATCCACCCTACTCACCCACCTCAGCGCCGTCGCCTCTCCCACTGTGGCTGCCCCCCTCGCTCTCCTTGCCCTTCCTGACGCCAGCCGCGCCCTTCACTGCCTCGGGTGCAGCTCGCCTCGGCAACTCCTCGCTGCAGCTCACCTCGGGCAACCAGGACCAGGAGTCAGGCGCCGCCTTCTTCCCCCTCCCCCTGCCTCTGCTCTCGCTCCTCCCCCCTCCTCCTCCTCGCAAGGGGAAGAACAAGGCCGGAAAGACTGATGCACTGGTGTGCAAGGCTCGATCCTTCACCTCGTGGTTTCCCTTTGAGCTCAAGGGAAGCGGATTTCAAGCAGCAGAACGCCCGCCCGATCCTTCAAGTAGAACGCAGGCCAGGCCCGAGGCGGCCCACCCAGCCCGAACCCCTACGAATCAGTCCGAGCCGGTCCGGTCTGGTTTGAACCGAACCGGCCCGGTCCGGTCCGGTCCGGTGGCCACGCGGCGCCAAGTCGTGCGTGGTAACAGTGCAAGTAGAAGAAACGTCAACAGCATGCACGCCCCTCCGTCGCCTACCAGCTCACGCGACCCTTGGGCCCTGATCCAGGCCGCATACGGTTGTTTGCCAGGCCAGAACGACCCGGCCCGGCTCGGCCCGTGGCTAGCCCAACAAGAGGGCCGTCGCAGGTTGGGTCGGCAGACCAACCTGCCTCCCTCTCACCTTTGGAGTCCACGTGGAAGGTCCAGGAGAGGATGTCGTGCGTCTGAGTGTGCAGCGGCAGCAGCCCCGTGCCGGCTGCAAACCCCGCATGCACCAACACGGCCTCCCCCTCCCCTCCGTCCTCATTCGGAGCATTGTGAAAGAGGTCGCAGGCATTGAAGGGGAGGGAGAGGAGGGCGGAGGGGGGCATGGCGGGCGAGGAGGAGAGGCGCACGGAGAGCAGCGAGGCGGTGGCGTTGTAGGCCACCCACGCATGCAGCGTCTCGTTGCCGCCCAGCGAGCCCATGCCCGCAGGGTGCACGGACGCATGGCCTGCTGACGTCATGCTGTAATCCACGTTGATCCCCACGTGGTGAGTGGTTGGATCCACAGATAAACGAGTTGATGACGTGTCAAACTCCACTGCCAGGCTGTGCTGATGTGGCAGGCTGCTGTTGAAGGTGATACTACTGGAGCTACTGCTGGTGCTGCCAGTCGTGGTGCATGTAATGGTCCCATTCGCTATCACACACTCTTCCCCTTCCCCCACCTCCGCATCCCCCCCTTCCACACCCACAAAAAACTCTTCCTGCCGGTAAGGCCTTCTGCTGTATCCCATGTTTGGCCCGGGCAGCCCGAGTGTCGGGTCGGGCAGGAAAACGAAAGCAAAGCCGTCGGCCCCGAGAGCAGCAGCGGATTGGGGGGAGGAGAGGCGGAAGGAGAAGGAGGAGGAGAAGGAGTAGGGGCGGCAGGGGGGGGTGGGGGAGGCGGGGGAGACGAGGGGGAATGGCGTGGGGTGTAGGGCAAGGCCCGCTTGGTGGGGGGGAGAGAGGGGGGTGAGGCGCAGCGAGGAGGGGAGGAGGCGGGCCGAGCCGGAGGTGAGGAGGGGCGAGGAGGAGGTCAACGGGGAGTAGGAGAAGGACGGAGGGGCGGAGGCCGCTGAGATTCATGGGGAGGAGTGAGGGACAAAAAGGGAGAAAGGAAAGGAAGAGTGAGCAACATAGACAATGTGAAGGACACCAAGGTATGTAACCAAAGACATTGACACCAAGGTATGTAACCTCATGAAACAAGGTATATCACCTCATAAACAAGGTATATAACCTCATGAAACAAGGCATCATGAAACAAGGTATGTAACCTCATGAAACAAGGTACACAGAGAGGTGACTCATCCAAGCATTGTCCGTGTGCGCGCATCGACTGAACAGAAGTGTGTCGTGTTGATGCGCACCTGTGCCTCTGGGCGCACCTGTGCCTCTGGGCGCACCTGTGCCTCTTGGCGCACCTGTGCCTCTGAGCGCACCTGTGCCTCGGGGAGCCACAGTGACCAAGTCAATGTCGATGTTCCCTGCTGCCGCTGCCGCCGACGTGAGCGCTCCGCCTTCCACTGCTGCTGCTGCTGCTACCTCTCCACCCAATGGAACACCCCCAGTCTCAGGCACACCCCCTGGCACGGACCCACCCCCTGGCACGGACCCACCCCCTGGCTCGTACCCACCCCCTGGCACGGACCCACCCCCAGTCACGGACCCACCCCCAGTCACGGACCCACCACCAGGCACGGACGTATCTCCGGGAGGAGGCACCCAAATGGTGCCGCTGGTGTCCACCCCACTGCCCTCCAGCAGCACGACGTGCAGCGCCACGCCTTGCGGCGGGAAGGATAGAGCAAAGGCGGAGGCGGGGGAGGGTGGGAGGTGGAAGGAGTAGGGTCCGTGCTGGCGCCAGGGCAGGAGGCCCGAGAGAGAGTAGGAGTTGTTGTTGAGGCAGGGAACGCCGATGGTCCATTGATGCACCACCGTCATGTCTCCGCTGCTCGTAGCTGCTGCTAGCGCCCTGGCCAGATCGCCCTCGTCCACGCTGCTGCTGCTGTTAGTCGCTGGTGGTGGTGGCAGGGGCACGGCGACAATCATTGCTCGCATCGGCCAAAATCCCAAGAGAGAACCCAAGTCAAACGAGCACTCGCGTGCCCTAGCATGGAAATATAGCGAAAACTCCCCCTGCTGCTGCTGCTCTCCACCTTCCACGACACACAGCAGCTGCCCCAGTCCCTGCACCGGCCACACTGCCCCTTCACTCTCACTCGGCCCGCTCCCCCAGAGCTCGCCACTGATGCCGCCACTGCCGTTGCTGGGCTGCAGGCGAACGAACCGACCTCCCTCAGCAGCAACGGACGGGTCCCCGCGCGAAATCTCCCCTCCCCCTCCCCCCGCCCCCGCCCCCGCCCCCGCCCCCCCAACCTGCCCTTGCTGCGCTGCTGCGCCGCCGGGGACGAGCGGCACCCAGGACGACAGGGGCGAGGGCCAATCTGCTGCAGCGGAAACTTCCTCGAAGCCCGCATTGCGCAGGAGGTTCAAAGAGGGCGCTGGAGGCGGTGGGTTGGAGGGGTGGGAGGAAGATGGAGTGGGGGGGAGGGAGGATGGGGGGGATGATGGAGGGGGATTAATAAGGGGAGCTGGAATGTGACGATGCCGCTGTGAGGGCGGGACAATCGACGCTCGAGCTGGAATCAAGGGAGACAGAAGGGGAGGTGACAAAATTGGGCGAGATGCGGTTAATAGTCTCGACGACTTTCTACTCGTCTATTACTTCGGGAATGCAAGGATCGAATCAAACCTTCGAACCTGCGAGGTCCCTGGATCCTCTGCCACTTGAGTTGCCGCGAGGCAAACGGTACGTGCTCCCAACTGCTGCGAGGTTACCTTTCGAGACGCGAAGCAATAATCAGTACCTTGAGCTGCGAGGCTGGCGCATGTTGGCACGGCGGCGTTGGTGGCGGCAGGGAGCGAGAGGAGGTACGCGGTTACCACAAGCAGGCGAAGAACGACGCTGGTGAGGCGGCCTGGACTCTTGAAGCCACGTGGAGCCTGCCAATTGAAGACATGCTTCGGATCGCCACTGAGTACTAGGGACGCAAACTCGCTACTATAGAGTGACCTGATAAGAGTAGCGGATGTTCGGCTCGCGTGTGGCATGGAGAAAAACGCCGTGAGAATGGGGCGCGGCGATTGCGAGGAAAGAGGAGGAGGATCGAGGTGTTTTGTACTTCCCTATCTGAACTAGCAAGGTAGAATTTTCGCAAACACGAATTCCAGCAGTTAAAATGGCTTGTTTTCTTGAACCATTCCGCACATAGCACAATGTGAAGCTCCTTGATGAATCTGTTGGAGTATAAAGGGAATTACATTTAGCATTCCCGTAGGTGCAACAGTATTGCACCCGCCACTATCGAAGCAGCGCTAGCAGCAGTGTCGGATCAGCCTATATCAAGGGCAGGAAGGTCAACAGTCGCAAAGTCAACTGTCGCGATTGTTGACCATCTGGACCGACGATTGACTTACCATCGAGGAATGGCAACAGGCGTAACCGTATGTACCGGTTACATGGAGCGACTCGGTAACAAGAAAGAAGTGCAATAGTCGGAGTCAACTATAGAAATGCCTGTAAAGCAGTTAGAATAAGGGAATGTACCCCTCAGAGTACATGGCTAGCTAGAACTATTTATTATGTGTGCAATCTTTGTTTTAATCAACTTGGTCATCTACATTCACTATGATCTGGGTTCTCACAACAAATCTTCCGCTACCAAAACTCTTCTAAGACATTCCTATCATATCCAAAAGGTCCTTACTCTAACATGGTATGACAGCTAGTTTGGATTATAGAAACTGCTAAGGGGCTTCAAACAAGCTTCTTTAATAACTTAATCCTACATTAAGGACAACGACATCAAGGGCAACAACATGCCAGGCACAGATTGCGGAGAGGCTGGAGAAAATCCAGTACAACCCTCCACCAATGTCGCTTCCACTACAACGACCGTGGACACAGCGCTCCTCGAGCAGCTGATCTCCCGCATCAGCGCACTGGAGAGCCATCAGCCGATGAGCCCGAAGACCTCCCGACCCTCAAGGAGCTGGATCTGAACGATCCTTAACATTTGACAACCGCGGAGCTCAAGGTTCTGAAAAAGCACAACAGACGCATTACGAAGCAATGGCGTCAATGCAGAGCAAATTTCTCTCAACATCGAAACTCAAGACAACGAAGCCCTTCGATGGGCACGACTTCTACACCTGGAGTTTCGAATTCGAACAACTAGCCCACGACGCTCAGATCTGGATGTATTACGATGGATCATACGCATTCCCAACCAACGGCTCACCTCAGGAGAAGACGCAGTATTACAACGAATCACTTCTGGCCTTCACCGTCTTGATTCGGAATCTGTCTCCCGAAGAACAGCTGAGCATTCGCCCCTTTCAAGAACGAGTGGGCACCCGCGCAACAGTCCTAGGAACACCTGCGCACCTGCCACATGGCAACAGACTCGGTGACACTTAGTTGCCTGCTCAACCAGCTGAACAATGTCAAGATGTTCCCCAGCAAAAAGGCCGGACCATACATCAAACGCTGCAGGAACCTGAGAGATCAGTTCAGGAAAAGCAGCGGAAACTTTCCTGACGGTATGTTTGTCACCATCATTCTTGAAGGATTGAGCCCATAATGGCGCCAGTGCAAGTCACTGCTTCGTACTCAAGGGACCCTCAGTGAAACTGCCCTTTGTCCTGGAGATTGACCTGTACAACGAAAGAGGCAACAAAAGGGAGAAGATTGCTTCCTACGCATAAGCGCCACCGGACAAGAAAAGACTCTTCTGCAAGTACTGCAAGAAGACTGGGCATATAATTCAAGACTGCTGGAAGCTCAACGGCAACAACAACAATCAGAAGGGTGCGGCTGCTCACCAGCAAGGAGGAGCTCCGGCACGCAACCAAACAATGTCACCACCAGCCGTCGCCAGCACGTCTCAAGCTTCGGCGCGTGTTTCTGCGAACACAAACAACAAGGGCAAAAGCAAGGTTTTGACTTGCATGGTGCGTCGGGGACCACCTCGCCCAAACCGACACTACCGCTTCTTCCGCAGCTGGGAGGACATGTTCGCAGACCCGCCTCAGGATCAGTCGAAGATGAGGAAGAAAATGATCCAATGTACGATGAGCTGACAGTCGGACGGATGGAGTACGATTGAGAAATGCCGTAGTGTGTAAGAATAAGAACGAGGAATGGTTGCATTGAGCAGCATGAGGAGTACAAGTAGGAAACCCTAAAGTGTTGTACCCCATATGAACTACCCCACTACAGCCTACACAGACTATAGCATATAAGTTTGACACACCCCCATTGGCAAAGTGGGGGAGAACAAGAGGTCACAAGACCAGTCAAGAGAAGCAAAGCAAGCTCAGGGTGGATCACAACGTCACCACACATTCTGAGCATCAGTTCAAGGCCACAAGGCCAGTTCACATGCAGGATTATAAAGCAAGGTGAACAAGCAAGACAGTGATCTCAACCAAGGGTAAGCATGCAGGTGCAGGTATATATAGATCACAGTACAAACAAAGTCAAGAGGTAAGCAAGTGAGGCCCGGTAGGCACAAGACCTAGCATAGTACAGAAACGCTGATGATCACAAGGCTGAAGTGCCTTGGTAAAGATATCAGCAGTGTTGGCCGGAGAGGCCACGTAAGCAAGATGAAGCTGACCATCCTGCTGCAACTCTCGAGCAAGGAAGTAGCGCAGAGCAATGTGCTTCGTTCTGTGCTCCAGTCTGTGCTCCTCACCCAAGGCCAGCATGACCTTCTTGTCGACGTACAGAACTGGAGGAGAACGAGGCGCCTCTCCCAAGTCGGTCAGCAGGTAGGTGAGCCAGCGTAACTCCTGTGCAGCCATGGCCCCAGCGTAGATCTCAGCCTCACAACTGGAGCCGAGAACAGAAGACGAGCGGGTAGACCGCCACGAAACACAGCCGGAACCAAGGCTGAAGGTGTAACCCTGTGACGACCGCTGCGTAGCCAAGTCGTCAACCCAAGAAGCGTCTGCGTGACCAGTGAGGACAACTCGAGCCCGTCCTCATGCCCGACGTACTGCACAGGTAGCGCAACACCCTCTTAGCTGCATCCATGTGCTCTGGTCGGTGTCTCCCAGGAGCAACATAGCGTGCCAAGATGCTAAGAGGGTATGCCAGGTCAGGTCGAGTGCAGGTCATCAGGTACATGAGGCAGCCAACAAGCTCTGGGTACGGGCCACTCGGCTCTACGGACTCATCCGAAGGCAGAGCTGAGAGCGAGTGGCGAGTAGACAGAGGAGTGGCCTGAGGCGAGGAGTACGTGAAGTTGAAGCGCTGAAGGACTTGCTGCACCATGTGTGACTGAGTCAAGGTAATGGTGCGCCGTGCTCTATCCCGGGTGATCTGCAAGCCAAGATAGCTGCGCAGTTCACCCAGGTCTGTGCACGTGTGTCTCTTCTGCAGCTCCGACTTCGCGTGGGCGAGTCCAGTAGTGTCAGCAGTAGCAAAGACCAAGTCGTCGACGTACACGAGGATGTAGAACGGCGGCAAAGAGGTGTCGGTGCGTAGAAACAGTGACGGGTCAGCAGTGGAAGGAGCAAACCCAAGAGCCGCAAGCGTAGTGCTCAGTGTGCTGTGCCACTCACGGGGCGCCTGGCGGAGACCGTAGACTGGCCGCCGGAGGCTCCACTGGGTTCCAGGAGGAAACGACCCAGTGAAGCCAGGTGGGCGGAGCAGCCAGATCTCCTCGTGCAGGCTGCCCTGTAGGAAAGCAATGCTGAAGTCAAGAGAGTGAAGCTCGTAGTCACGCTAAGCAGCAACGTGCAGCAGAACCCGAAGAGTGGTCATCTTCGGGGTCGGGGAGGTCTGGAAGAAGTCAACTCCCTGTCGCTGACTGAAGCCTCGAGCAACGTAACGCGCCTTGAAGACAGGCGGAGAACCCGGCGGCCGCTTCACCCTGAAAATCCACATGCCACTGACGATGTTCGCCCCAGGAGGGGGAACCTCGTCGACGTAGGTGCCTGTGGACTTCCAGGATGCCATCTCTGCGTCCATGGCTGACTGCCACTGAGAGGAGTAGGGACCCGTGATCGCCTCTGCGTAAGAGCGCGGGGTCGGGATGTCTGGTGCATCCGGGTCTCCCTCAGGTGCAACCAGCATGGACACGAGATGAGGTACAGCAGCTGCAAAGCACTTAAAGTCCTCCTGCCTGTCCTCAAGGACGTCCGTGCCAAGAGCACACTCACCCCCGACGGACGGAGGACAGACAGACTCAGACTCAGCAACAATACTGGCGGTGTAGTCTAGACGACAGTGAGCAGCAAAGTCGACAATCTCAGCAACTAAGGCAGACGCAGTAGTGGACTCAAAGGAAGGGTCAGTGACAACATTGGCCAGGAGACGCGTGAGAGTAGGACTAGCAGCACGAAGGGAGTCAGACTCCGGGTCAGCAAGTGCAGGAAGAGAGGATGCAGGAGGAGACGGCAGAGGGAGACGCTGCGGAGCAGTAGAAGGGCACAGAGCCATCCGGTGGGTGCTAGGGACAGGAGGAGGATGCTGACGCGAACCACGACGACTAGTGCTAGCAGCACGAACAGGCGACGTAGGACGAGACGCATGCTCATGACGCTCAGCAAGACCTCCGGTCGGACCAGTGTAAGGAGAAGGAGCAGGCAGTGGGGAGGCGGGCTGTAACTGTGACTGCGACTGGACAGGCGGTGGACACTCTAAAGAAGGAGCGGGACCAGTAGAAGTCGGGAGACCAAGAACCTGCTGAAGGAGCGGAACGTAGTACGGCCGCGACCGCGCAGCGCCTCCAAAACCAGCAGGGACAGCACCAGCACCCCCAGCGGGAGCTCCAACTCCAGCAGCACCACCAGCTCCAGCAGCACCTCCAGCTGCTCCAGTAGCGCCAACTCCTGCACCCACAGGAGCACCGGCTCCAGCAGCACCTCCAGCTCCAGCACCCCTAGCAGCTCCAGCTCCAGCAGGACCACCAGAAGCCCCAGCAGTGCCAGCAGCTCCAGCCCTGGTACCTCCAGCAGCACCTGCTCCAGCAGTACCTTTAGCTCCAGCACCTCCAGCAGCTCCAGCCCCAGCAGCACCACCAGGCCCAGCATCTCCAGTA